GGCTGCTGCTCCTGCTTTCCTTGCTGCTACTACTGCTACTGCTGCTGCTGTCCTTGCTGCTACTACTACTGCTACTGCTGCTGCTGTCCCTGCTGCTACTACTACTGCTACTGCTGTCCTTGCTGCTACTACTACTGCTACTGCTACTACTGCTTTTGCTACTGCTGCTTTTACTACTACTACTGCTGCTTTTGCTGCTACTACTACCACTACTATTGACACTGCTGCTACTGCTTTTGCTACTGCTACTGCTGCTTTTACTGCTACTACTGCTGCTTTTGCTGCTACTACTACCACTACTATTGCCACTGCTGCTACTACTACTGCTTTTACTACTGCTGCTGCTACTGCTACCACTACTGCTGCTGCTGCTACTGCTGCTGGCACTGTCCCCAAAGGGGTAGAATTTCTTTTCTTTGGCTTTAGACTGTCTTGTTTTCAGATTTATCTGGGTGCCTCCCTGTGATGTTCTGTCATCAGAGTCACTGCTGGAGGGGCTACTTGTTGCACTCTCGATGCTTCCACTGGTGCTGCTGGCACTGGACGATGAGCTTCTATATTTTCTTACCCCCTGGTCAATGGTAACATTGGAAAAATGAAATTATTTTTCTGTGTTTCTGCAGGAGGCTGTTAGCAAAATTAGATGCAAAGACCTCTGAATCTCTGCTGCCTTAGAAGATAAGGTGCATGCCTGAGAGCATTCGTGCAACATATCACAATAATTCAAAGACAAATTCATAATAATATGTTAAGACCACATGTAAGCAGAATAATACCCCAAACGCTTTCATGTTAAAGAGCATGTGCAGGAGTTGTTGCCCACACAATTACACATAACTGGTGGCAGTAATGACAGTGCTGTAGCTGTGACTGTCTCGGGGCAGGCTGTGTAGGTGGATGTCAGACCATTTTGCTGCAGATGCAGTATCTGGAAAGAACAGACTAACTTTTGGGCACGCAACAGCTATTTTGTGTCTTGCAAGAGATTGTCAGAGAGGCCTACAAAACCAACCTGCTCTTTCTAATGTCCTTCAACTGCAGAATAGATGAGTGCAAGCAAAAGACCTGCAGAAAGACTTGTGTACCAAAAAGCCTGTTTCCAAATTTTGCATACTATCGAAACAAAGACAGCTACTTAGTAAAAGAAATATAAATAACTAAACTTTGTGTAAAGTGTCCCACAACTCTAGATGTGGACATTTACAGCAGTACCTGGTCATCATTGTCATCAAGGATTTTCTTTACTCTTTTAATTGCTTCTTTTCTGGAAGATGCTTGTGCCTCTGGATCTTCAAATGTTACTAGACGTACCATTTTTGTAGGAGCTTGGTCTCCTGCTTGAATTGTGACTTGTATTTTTTCAATAGGTGCTTCTGTGTAAACTGAAATTGCATGACAATAAGTATTACTGTTAGTATTAATGTCTGAATGAGAGAATAAGCCACTTTTAAAATAATTTATTTATCAATTCTTTCCCAAATGTAAATATAAATGCTCAATGATTATTGTTGGTATTGAGCAACTTCATTAAAAATTCTTTAATAGCTAAAGCATAATAAAGCATATTAGCATGAGACTGTATTAATTTCAAAGTCAATAAACAGAATGATCAGCAGATTTAAATCAAATGAATTGGATCACTTAATGAGATAACACTATGGGATAGTGAATTAGGCATCAGAGAGGAATTAAGGCTCAACTCTTGAATTGTAAAGAATGGCCCAATGCTTAAGCCATTAGTTTGATACTTAGGAGACCTAGATTCAGTGGCCTGCTGTGCTTTTATTTCTTATGATCATGGATTAAGACATTAAGGACTAGATCCTGGCAGGGTTAATCCATAATTCCCTTTTAGAGTCAGGGTTTTTAGAATGTAGCTACAGGACATTGCATCAGATCTGTTGCCCATGTCCAATTGCTTCGTGCTTGCATCCCAAATCCAATGATTCAGGATGCATCAGACACACTCTGCAGGCACAGATCAGCTCTGCTTGATGCTGGCCATGCTCAGTGGCATTGCTGGGAGAGCTGGGAAATTGCTGCTC